AGAAATCTTTTTTTTTAAATAATTAATCCGTCGGAATTCCGTCGGTTTGCTGCCGTCGGAAATCCGTCGGTAAATTTGCCGTCGGAAATCCGTCGGTCACCACTGTCGTCAGAAATCCGTCGGTAAATTTTTTCGTCGGAAGTCCGTCGGATTCCAATTGCCGACGGACTTCCGACGGAGTTTCGACGGATTCTGGTTATCCCTTTTCCGACGAAAATCCGTCAGGTTTTTCCGACGGATTTCTGACGGATATTTATTTCCGACGAGATAGAACCGACGGACCAAAACCGTCGGAAATCCTTCGGAATATGGGTTATTCCAACGGATTTCCGACGGTTTTGGCCGTCGGAAACGACCCTTTTTTCTTGTAGTGTCTATTTAAAGAGTTTACGTGCTAAATAGTCGTATTTTAACAAACTTGTACGAAAGCGATGTCATTAGGTGAATTAATAATGTACATTGAATATTGTTTAATCATCATGCATACAACTTGGTTCCAATCAAGTTAGTATGTTATGTTACAACGATATTTACAATATTACTGAAATTACTACTAAAACCGATATTCGATTGCTAAATGACCAATTTGCAATTCTTTACTATTTTTTTTTTGTAGTAGAATAAATAGTTTAAGAGTTTGAATAACTCTAAGATTGAAAAGTACACAATCAAGAAAAAATATAAATAAAAAAATAAGAGTATGGAAATCGTGTTCTTCAAACTTTATGTGTTTATTAGTTATAGCTAATCTGTAGTATGACATATTGGAAATCATAAAACTAAATTTATATATTATAAGGTTTAGTTTACAGTCTAAAAATTAATGGCCGCTGTAAAATGGAAACTCTGTACTAGAGTGACCCATATAATCTATGAATATGTATAAAATGGAAACTCTATATTAGAGTGACCAATAATCTATGAATAACTATATAGTTATCTGTATATTAAACATTCATGTATATACTGTTATCAACAAAAAGTTAGACACTAGTTTCTGATGATTATAAGGTGTTATATAAACTTTAGTAGTTAAAACTTAAAATTATAAAATCCAAATTTTATGGTTTTGAGTGAGATTGCAATAATTATAATCACTAATCCTAAGATTTTCCGTAAATTCAATTAGAATCATTAAAGTCCTTTAAAATTCTATAAAAAAAACTCAAATCATCCATAGTCTAATAATATCCGTACATAGTTTTATATATAGATATGCATTACGATGGTCATTAATCAATAAACATCGTATGTACTTACAACAAATGTATGATGTGGACCATTTTATACGTAATTCGAAAAAGAATTCTCAAGCAATTTTCTTTCTTTCTGATTTATCCATAAATTTGAAAGAAGAATTCTGGTTTTTACATGATATTTGAGTCCACATAATCGGTACTCATATATTATAAAGTTCAAAAACCCAATTCAGATAAATAAAATTCTAATATCACTAAATCAATTTTATTTTCGTATACCTGTCAATTTACTTTTCT